TTCTGTCGAAACTGCCAGACGCGGATCGCGATTTCGATCTTTTTGGATCTCATCAGCGCGTCACAGGCAGCTCCGACAGAACACAGACCAACCTTTACCTGCTGTCTTAACAGCGCGTTTTCGAAAATACAACAAATGGCGTGGTGAGCGCCATCTGTAGTACGATGCTACATTTGAGGATTACATATGCTCCAACAAGGTCCATTTAAAAATATGGATATCAACTTGCTGAAACTAATCCCGGCTCACCACGCCATTTGTGGTATTTTCGAAAACACGCTGTTAAGACAGCAGGTAAAAGTTGGTCTGTGTTCTGTCAGAGCTGCCTGCGACGCGCTGATGAGATCCAAAAAGATCGAAATCGCGATCCGCGTCTGGCAGTTTCGACAGAATACAGACCACTTCGAATTATTTTGTTAGGAGTCTTAGAATTGAATGAGGAACGTTCTTCCAAATTTTTATTTGTCTGGTAGCATTTTGACATACCTCCTAAACATGCTTAATTTGTTTTGGTACCATTTCGTTAAGAAAAGCAATGCAATGTCTATGCAGACTTGAATGGGAATTTATGCCATGCGTGCTATAAGTGTGTTTGTTTAAATCATTTCATGAAATACCAAAAAGAAGACATGTCGTCCGTCAGTATGATTCTATTGAACAGATTTTAACTTTTTGTGTGTTAATGTTTTCTATCTTCCACCTAATTATTGTGGAATCAATCAATAATTTGTCACCAGACTTTGTATACCTTTTTCTGTCTAAATTAAGTATTTTGTAAACTATCGAAGAAAAAAACGTTGCTTACCGAAATATGAATTTACACCGAATTTCAGCAGCTCCGCCTCCATGTATTGTTCCAGGTTCAATAGCAGCTAAAATGTACAGAAAGTCCCGAAAGGATAAAGCTGATCGACCATTCGTGTCAGCAGCTCTAAAATAATAATGAAAGTAACTGTGTATAGTAAAAAAAAACTTTTATTAAAAGTGTAGTAAAAAGCAAAAGCAAAAAAAATCAGTACCGGATTAGCCACGAAGCAAGAGTAGCAAATGCTGCAGGCCCCGCGCACCAATGTTTTCTGATCATAAAAAAGTATTTACACTAATTATTTATTAAAGAACTTAAAAACACTATTAAATTATCACTAAACTTAGGTTATGAATTATTCTATTTATTTACACTACTGTTGATATATCACTATTCACTGCGCTATTTATTTCACTTCTATCACTGTCAATTCATTTCTGGATTCACTTCTGCAACGGTCAATTTATTTCTTCTTCTCTTGGCGATCGACTATTCCTTTAAATACTCTTTTGTTTACTTTCTGGAACCTTCTGGAAACATTCCGATAGTTTATTTTTTCTTTAAATTTTTTAACTGCTTTCTCAGAACGCAGGTATTACACACACATTTACAAATACGATGCACATGAAGAAAGGCGCCCGCGGCTAGTCGGCGAATCGAGAAGCCGTTCACGCACACGTGTGCTCGATCGCACACAAACACACTCGTGCTCGCTACAATACCTAGTTCCGATTTTTGGGTAATTTATTTGAAATTTGGCACTTAATTAATTACCTGAATAAGAAAGTGATTTCATCTGCAGGCCAGCCAAGTTCGCTCATTAATTTGGTAAAAATCCTTTGGCACATGTACAAGGCAGGAAAGCAGAAGAGTATAAATAATTTGAGTAGTGTTGTTTGCACTGCAAAAGAAATTAAAAAGGATTGTTACAATTGTGGCGTAACTAGCGTTAGTGGCGCTAGGGACGGACTCTGAAGGTACTTCACCGTCCAATTCTGTGCAAAAAATACTAAAAAAGAACTAAAAAACAATTTCTACTTTCAAAAATCATCTCTTCCCTCATTTATATTTCAGACAACTCTTGAGTGGCAAACGGTTTACCTTCTTTGGTAAATGAAGCTGCTTCAACAAGCGATTCGTAAGGGGTTTGACCGGACAACGTCACCAATGTATCCGCATTTATTTCAGAAAGTATTCCCTTGTAATGGTATTCATTAGCCCTGAATGTCAGTGCTTCTCCACCATCAGGAAATGAAGTGTCATTCTTTGAGCTCTTTGCCAGTTGACAAAATTCCACTAGTTCAGGACTTAATACATTATCCGAGTACAGATACTGTAATATTTCTTTATCTCTTAGCCACCTTATTTGTCCTTGATACTAAATGAATTTTTAAAGAAACAGTATTATAGGTACACCTAAATATTACATAATTTTGTTGAAATATGGTAGGCAATGACTAATTGGTAGGTAAAGACTTTCGCGGCCAGTAGGTGAAGTGAAGGTGTTCTGATTCGGGTCTAACGGCCGTCGTCAGTTGGAATACTTATTCCTACTTCCATCCCGAGCTTTTCCAGAAGTTCTTCCATGCCCGATGCTGGATGTGGACTGATCTGTCTGAGAAGCTGTTGGTGTCCCGGAAGCGACACAGGAACGTCAAGGTAGTAAGTAACTACGGCTTCTGCTTTCTTAAATTGCCTAGTCCTTGATACTGCCTACATGTCTCTTCTCCGTAAAGGCGTCTGGCAAATTGGTAAAGTCTTTCGCGGACAGCAAGACTGTCCACATTCAGCATTGGAGATGGAAGGACCTCTGAAGAAGCTTAAAAAAAAGAAACTTTTGGGTGTTTCATTCCCACCAGTCAGTAATGCTGGTGGGCGGGCAGTCCCTCCGGACTACGCCGGAAGGTAGGGCGGAAGGCCCTCTTCAGCCTGCTTTCAGGAATCGTGGGAATGGGTGGGTGGTGGTTCGGGTGAGAAAGATGAGACGGACGAAATGAAGACAGAAGAGAATGAAAGATTATCTGTGGAATATTACTGCCTCAGCATTTGCCTAAGTGATCCAAGGAAACCACAGAAAAACTTGGACCAAGGCAGACGGACCCGGAATCGAACCGGCGTCCTCCCGAATGCTAAGCAATGGTCTAGACCTCTAGGCCATGCCGCTCGGAAGAAGCTTGCCATTCATGCTCTTATATACTAATCGTGGTGATTTCCCGCCGCCTACGAGAGATGCTGACAGATATGTGACCATCTAGCGGATGACGCCGAAGCTAGGGGTGTGTGACGTGAACTGGCGCTAGACAGACGAGTCGCCACAATAAAATCGAGCTAAGTAAAGGGTTAAAAGGTTTTTTCATTAATCTGAAACCAAACCGACGTATCGCTCTCAGTTATGGGGCATCCTCAGGATACACATATTTTGTGACTAAGAAACCTAAGCTTTAGCGCGTATCACAACTGAGTGCGAAAAGCCAGTTTGGCTTCACATTAATAAAAAACCTTTTTACCCTTACTTAGCTTGATTTTTTACATATAAACAATTGGAAACATTTGAGCGTTGGCGTTCCATTTCTTACATTCAAGTAATATCAATTTTACATAATAATGCATTGATTTGATGCAATGTTTTGATCTATCGGCATTATTTAATGTGAGATGTTATTAGAAATCAATGAGTTATTTCATTTTCGAATTTGTGTATTAGGCCGGTGATGTGATTCTGTGCGTCAAACATTGATTATAAAAAGAGTGAAACAAATAGCCAGAGTAGTGTCTCTGAGCATGAAAGAAGACAAACAGCTCTAACCAGTATTGCTGCCTCTTTACGCTTTCAACACCACCGATCCATCACCTTCTGTATTAGGTGTGGTCGTAAACCATTACCTTTGAACTGGTGGTTTTAATTTTCTTCTTTGCGTCGGATTTAAGTTTGATTTCTAGAACACAATGGTAAAATGTCGATGCCGATAAATCGGGGATAGTTACTTTTGATAGGCATGTCAGTCGTTCAGATGAGATAGTGACACTTCCTAGGAGCTAAAAAATGCCTTTGTTTTAAGTAATAATTGTGCGAATGAAATTATTTCTTAGGTTGCCTACATTTTTTAATTCGTTGTTGGACATGCTCTCCCAACTTGATGCTCCAGTGACTTTTACTGATGGTATCCAAAGTTCCTTATTGGCGGAAGTTACCATCATTGTACCGTCATCTGGACAGAAAACCACATGCGATATAACATCGCACATATCTCCGACGCTTTTGAATTCCATTTCAACAATTTCAAAGTTGTGGCAATATTTCTACTTATATTTTGGAAAACTACTAAGAAAAAATTAAATTTTTAAAAAGGAAATGGATAACTTAATGACGTTAAAATGTCATTTTTTAGATATATTCGCGGCATAGGCCACTGCCATATGAAAATAAATAAGAAATTAAACATATTACTATTATAAAAATAAGACAGACCTTCTAACAGGAAATTAATATATTTTTAACAATTTACAATTTTATATCGAGGCGACGAAAGAACAGCAGCGCAATTTAATTTTATGTCAAAAAAAAGGTTAATGGAAGAGGAAGAGAAAAATTTAATAGAAACCTTAATGTCTAATATTACATTTGTTTCTTATTCATATTGTAATGTTCGTGGGTTTAACAGAATTAACTTCCAAGATTGATTACGACGAAAACTATTTATTTACACTAATTATTATTAAAGGACTTAAAAACACTTTTAAATTATTACTAACTTAGGTGTTGAATTACTCTATTTATTTACAGTACTGTTGATATATCACTATTCACTGCGCTGTCAATTTATTTCTACTTGCTCTTGGTGATCGTCTCTTCTTTAAATACTCTTTTGCTTCCTTTCGGGAACCTTCTCGAACCGTCCGGAAAAGTTTCTTTTTCTTTGAACTGTTTACCTGCTTTCCCAGAACGCAGGTACGACACACACGTTTACAAATACGGCGCACATACCGCGGCTAGTCGGCGAATCGATAAGCCGCTTACACACACGTATGCCCAATCGCACACAAACACGCTCGTGCTCGCTACAATATAAATATATTCAAACATAATTCAAAGCTGATAAACTTGATGCTTAAGGAGAAGATGTAGAAATTTTTCAGATAAAAATTAATGTTTTGTGAAAAAAATGTCAATTTACATCAAAATGGATTTAGAGACAGACGGGTCGCCATCGACCTGTATGTTTAAATTGAATAAAAGGAAAATCAATCCTTGTCAACTTTGATTGCCTCTGACGGATAAGATATCCATGCAATCGAAAAACAAAACCCTACTCAGGGAACTTCTATTCATTTCTGTAATAATCTCAGGTGGCTCAAATCAAAGGATAATTTTGCATTGGAGCAGGGTTGGAAAAAACATTTTTTCAGTAAATTAGTGAAACAACCAGTTGGTGATGAGCCAAGCAAGACCAAAACCACGCTTGCCCCAGTCTTGGTATTGGTCTTGACCTTGTTTATTCGGTCTTGATCTTGGTCTTTCTTAAATATTTATAGTGTTGGTATTGTAAAATTAAGATTTACTACGAATTCAATAAACCTCTTTAACTTACGTGGGTCATCGCATAGCAGTCCGAAACGACATTTTGCAGGTAGACACATCGCAAAAACATGAAACAAATACCGAAGTTACTGCTTTATATATATATAAATAAATAAATAAGCCATATTCTTCAGAAATTTCTACCCAGGGCCGGACAGGCCCGGGGTGCAGGGGTGCAAATGCACCCCGGGTCAANGAAAAAAAAAAGAGAAATTAAAAAAACTTAATAATTTCTTTTGATAGTTTTCAAATTTTCTTATAAAAGGAAAACAGAAAACAAACTATAAAGATATCATTTATAAAGAAAATAAAAAAAATTTAAAACAAGAGCAAAGGCAAACGCAAATTTCCTCCTAACTTCTTAAATTTATTTAAAAACGAGTGCAGTTAAAATTTGTGCACTTTCCCTACTAAACCAGGCGATTTGGCTACATCGCACCCCGGCCAAAATCTTTAGTCCGGCTGTTTCTACCTGAAACGAGTAGAAACTCCCAGGACGCCCGACTACCGCGCTAGTAGTCAGTAACCTATGATGTGAGAACACCAAATCATGTCAACCGGGCGCATGGAGGGCCCCTCTCCTACATGTCTCCTGCTCTGGAGGAACCACATCCTCAGAGAGGACGAGATTTACGCCCCGGAGGCTTGCACCACACAAATGCATAAATTACCACACAGGCAAAATAACATAATCGCACCACACAGGTGCTAAATAGAAGTGTTCACTTACAACATATGCAAACCAATTTAGCACACAGGCCTGACCAAAACAATACTGACTCAAATACAGGGGCGGACTAAGGCCTTGGCAACCTATAGACACTTGCCTAGGTCCCGTAATTTTTGGAGCCCGAAAATTAGGTATATTGCATATAAAATAATAATAATATAAATAATAACTGCCAGGCGCGGATCGCGATTTCAAATCTTTTTGGATCTCATCAGCGCGTCGCAGGCAGCTCTGACAGAATACAGACCAACCTTTACCTGCTGCCTTAACAGCGCGTTTTAGAAAATACGACAAATGGCGCTGTAAACGCCATCTGTAGTACAGTGCTACATTTTAGGATTACGTATACCTCAACAAGGTCCATTTAAATATATGGACATCCACTTGCTGAAACGAATCCCGGCGTAGCTAACCTCAACGTGATAGGCACGTTACCATAGTCGAATATATATTGCATATACTAATGATAAAAAACGGCAGAAAATACAAAAATTATTTCATGATGAAATTCCAGAAGATAAAATAAGATTTAGTGGCAAAAAACATTTTAAAGTTAATATTTTTGTTGTTGTATGCGATTCTTTAATTAGCAACATTAAATATGAGGGATATAAAACTATTAGCAATAAATTCAAAATAATTTTTCATGATAGTGATGTTAGTGACTCTTCTATAGAGGAATTAAAGTGTTATGAACAAGATTTAAACCTAGCAGAAGTAAAAAAATTTTTAATTGTGTTCAAACAATTTTTAAACAATTTTTTTACGTTTATTTTGATTACATGTTTTAAACGTTTTAAACTTGTTTTATACAAGTTTTTTTTTTATCGTAGCTTTTAACGAGATTAACAAATTGTGTTTTTGGTAGTGCTTAAAATACGTGTTTTAAAAAAGCCAACCCTGTGAAAAATGTTTTCTTTATTTCGTATCTATAACCAATGAGTAGTTCTACTTTAGTCCAAGGAATTTAAAAATGTTTAATGATGTATGATGTTCCTTTTTGTTTTACATTTTAATTTCAAACATGTTTTACACGTGTTTTAAAACACTCTGTTTAAAACATATTAACGGTGCCTTGAAGTGATTTTTCTTTTTTATAAGACTTATTAGTAATGTGTAAAAGTGGTAGAGTATATTTTATTACTGCTTTATTATCTCATTAATTCAGTAACATTTTTTATTTGTATTTTATTTGTGCTTTATTTATAGACCTATATTAAACGAAAAATAATTTATTCCACTTTTTTATCTTATATAGATACATAATTCGCCTGAGATGCTGCTCAAAAAGATAAATTGGTTTTTTTTGTGTCGGTCGCTGAAAATTCATAAATGGAGTAAATTATTACATTCAATTTGTGGCGCATACGTGCTCTTTCTAATTATATCTAGTATTGTAGAAGTAGTGCTGTCTATATTTGTTTGTCTATAAATAAACTCAAAGAAAGCCGTAACTTACATAACTAATTCGCGTTGACGCTTACTGTGAGTGAATTTTCAAAACACACGAGTTAATCAGGTGAAGTTTGAAAAACATTGAAAAAAACAAAAACGTTACCGATAATGGTTACATCATTTTGTGAAATAACACAGGACGAAAAACAAGGAAGGTAATAAAGTGTTCTATTGTCCACTTGTTGAAAAATAATATTTTCAATGTAGGTATTTAAAGACAACTCAGAATGTTCCAGAAGGAAGTTTGATTTTAAAAGAAGAACCGTTAGTTATCGGTCCTGAAGGGGTCGGTGTTGTTTTCTGTTTTTGTTGCAATAAAATTTTGAATGGTGTAAAAATTCCAGTATGTCCGAAATGTAAAACCGCTAGCGTTTGTAATGAAAATTGTGAAGGTAAGACCTTGTAAATGTTGTAGCTACCTGAAAATCATCATCATCATTAAGTCGTCAGTGACTGGTTGGACACGTACCTCCACTCTTTCCTATCCTGAGCTAATCATTTCCCTTAAACTAGATGATCCCGCATCCTCAAGCATTTGTGAATAGTAATCTGATCTATTTAAGTCTATCTCTACTCCTCTTAACTCTTGTTTCTCCTCCTAATATGTCTCTAACTAACCTTGCATGTCTGAGAAGGTGTCTTCCTAACCTATCTCGCCTATTTCTTATTGACTTCCATAGAGTCCTCTGTTCTCCTATTCTTCCTGATACCTCTTCATTTCTAACCTTCTCTATCCACGGTATCCTCATCATTCGCCTATAACACCACTGTCCGAATGCTTCTAACCTTTTCCTTTCCGCCGAGCCCACTGTCCATGTTTCACACCCGTACAACGCCGCGCTCCAAACATACACCTTCTTCGAATTTCCAAATTAACCGTTCGCGAGCATACAAGTGACTTCTTTTTATTGAAGGCGACTCGACCCTGCACTATCCTCTGCTTTATATCCCTACTACTTCCGTCCTGACTTATCTGACTTCCTAGATACCTAAAATTGGTCACTTTTTCGCCTCCTATCTTTATATTTGCTCTTTTCTTACTTTTTCTTTCCTTGCATACTGGTATTTTTGTTTTTAAGGAATGATAGAAAAAAGTTTTTTTTTTATAAAAAAACGTAAAAAAGCTGTACTCATTTACAACTATTAAATCCTATCAATAATTTTTGTCAAAATTGAAATATTGGGATTTTCCATTGCCATTATTGATTAAAAACAACAATATCCTTAGTTTTTGTAATTAAATTTTGTAATAGTTCTCATAAATTTTGAGGAATACCTTCCAATAAATGTAAAATTGAAACATTTATTTCATTTCCTGAAAAGTTTCTTATATTACTTTATACGTCCCTCTGACTTGAGACCCTCCATATGTATAGAAATTTTGTTAGGAAAAGTAAAAAATTTAACAGATCACATGTTTATTCCCCCCTTGGTGTGTTTGCCATTTTTCATTACCTGTACATCAGAAATTGTAATTTTCTTGAGTCAACAATCATGATCATCAAGAGAATAATAGTAAAAGTTATCGATATCGAGCAATAGGTATTTTGGCATCATTAAATGAAAACAAACCGCCTCGGGTTATTTGATGTAAACAAAAGAAAATTTCTTAGATGAATTTTATAGAGAATGAGGTGAAATATTACTACACTTTAGATATAAAAAATTTTGTCAAATTGAATGCAGTTCGTTTTTAGGGATTTGGCATAGCGATAACGAATGTGATTTTTTCTCTAAATGTTCCGTCCAATGTGGGCATTTCCTAGTTAACAGTCAAATCATTTTACCTTTGCGCTGTTTGGTCTTCAGAAATTCAAACAATCAAAAATGGGACGAACTTTTGAAGCTTGAATCCCATTTAGAAAAAAGAAGAAAATGCCCAGTCTGGAAAGATATCGCTATTAATATTGAAGCGGTAAGTTAAAAAAAAAAATAAAGACCTGCAAATTATGTGTAATGAGTGTGAGCACTATTCCATTTTGGTCTTGAAACTATGAACTTAATAGTTATCTTCTGTATTAGATAATGCCCTTGGACTTTTCTACAAAATTTTACTATTTTTACATAATCCTCCTTTTACTTTCGTTTCTTCTCTTTTATTTCTTATTTTGTACTTTCTCCGTTGACTTTCGTTAGTTCCCTGATTTCTATAAATACCCTAGAATATTCGTATATCTGTTGTTTCTTCCATTAGCAGGCAAAACCTTCATCCAGTACTTGCTTGCTCTCCATTCGCTGCAAAGCCGGAATCTTGGAATTTGGGTTTTTCTTGCTGGTTCCATATCTTCCACTCAGTAGCATAGCTGAATCTTTTAACTTTTTCTCTTCTTTGATCTTCATCCTTTTTTTCGCCTTTTTTACCACAATTTTCAGCTGTGTTTACTGTTGCTTTTATCTCTCATTTTTCTAGTCCTAATTGTTTCAATAATTTGTTTTTTTATTTTTCTATATTGGTGTTCAGACAGGTTGCTTTGCTTCTTTCCCTTCTGTACTCTCTCATCAACTTGTTCTCTGGGTCTCTTCTAGTTTCAGAAATCTTATCCCTGTTATCTTGAACTTTTGTTTCTTCTTTTCTTAATCTTAGAATATCTTTAATGTATCTTTCTTGTAAGTTTTCTATTTGTCTCCTTTTTCTAATTCTTCTTAACTAAAACATTGGACATTGTAAAGTGTACAGTAATAAACTGTACGTTACACGTAAATTAAAATGATAATTATGGTGTAACTGTTTCAAATAAAATTTGTCGTGAAAAAATGAAGTCGTGTGTTTAACTATTTATTTACAAATATATACAATGGAACCGAATAAGCTAGTCAACGTAACGAAGTGTGTTGCTAGGCGAATAATGCTAATCTGTTTATGTACAACTTAACGACTGACTTAAATACATTTTGCACCCCCTGAAGAGAGGGAGGGTGAATAAACTGTCTCCAGTACAACCATGAGCATTGTTCCTAAAGAGGACAGATATTTTGACCGGAAGGGTCCGGCAAAAGTACCTGGAGTGCAATAAATGTTTATAAATAGACACAGCAAATGTCTCTAACAAATGTAACATTAAAGTAAAATATTTCTAGTAAATTCCAGTAATGTATTGAAATATATCATAAAAATAATTCTGAACAATTATGGTCAGAACAGACATCATTATTTTTCTTTTAAAGTCATTTCTATATTTTCCCTCTCTCTTCGGTCCCCCAGATTTGTGACGTTAATGCCATAGCTTTCCTGAGACTCTTTTAACATGTGCCTTATTTCACTTGTTTTTCTTGACTGTTTATCTCAAGTATGTAAAGTCCAGTTCTTCTAATGTTTTGTTGTTTCATGTCAAATCCACCTCTTCCATCTTTCCCCTTACTGAAATACTAAAATCTTCAGTCCTTAGATCTAGTTCTTTCTCTATATTTTTATTTCAGGATATAGATGTGTTCTGTATGACTTCCCCTTCCTTTTATCTCTCTTTCAGCTGCCTCTACTGTAAATAACATCTTAATATTGACCTTGCCTTTTATCAGTAACTTGGTCGTACCTACCAAGAGTTTTTTTAGTCTTGGTTATAACTTCTTAGTCTAAATTATAAGTTTGAGTTGCAGATTTATTTAAGTAAAAATGTCTTGTCTATAGTATTTTAGTCTTTTTTTTGTAGGTACTATAAGCAATAAGAGTTGCTTGTGTTCTTAACCGTGACCGACTTTCGATTTTGAAAATGTTTTAGTTGCTTTTATTAGAGTATTGTTTATAACATCCTAGTATTAATTAATAGTTTTAGTTTCAGATTGTCTAATATCTCCTATCTTTTTTATTTTGTTTAGTGTATTAGTATCTAAATAATAACTTTTCGCTCGGCAGATATAGTGTTGGTCTTATTTTCTGACATGTCCTTAATTTAAAGTTTAAAGTTTAAAGTTTACTAATTAGAAAAAACTTTTTACTATAAGATAATGTATTATATAACAATACGATAATGTTTTTCAGTTGTTTCTAAATTTGGGAATCATATCAAAAGTAGATGTTGAAAATGAACTGATTCAAAAGATATGTGGAATATTGGATATCAACTCGTTCGAACTCCGAACTAATGCATTTATAGATAATTACAGTTCAGGTCCAGTACATGTTTTGCGAGGGCTGTACCTGAAAGCAGCATTGATTAATCACGATTGCGTTGGAAATACACATCTGGCTATTGATGATAATTATAATCTGATTATCCATGCAAGTATAGATATTCCTGTTGGAGCAAGCGTTTATTTCAACTATTCCAATCCTCTTAAGGTATTTTGTATTACGTGCAACAGAGTTACGAAGTTTTATTGTTGATAGGTATTGCTTTCTTTTTCAATTCGCTGCTTTATATCTCATATCTTGAAAGTTAAAAATTAATGCTTTTTTTGAATTCGATTAGCGTTATTTAGTATTTAGCTACTAAAGAAATGAAAATCTACATATATGCCAACCGACTGACTGAATGACATATTAAAGTACAGTCCAAACCCCTGCGTCTAAACACTTGAAATTTTGCACAAACGTTCCTTATACAACGTGGTCGAACACTAATTCAAATTTTTTAAAATTCAACTTCTGAGGTGGTGAAAAGAGGGTTCAATGATTCATGTTGCGATCAAACCGCTGAGTCACAAAATGAAGTTTTGTACAATGGTTCCTATAATGGTACTACCCTTATCTATCACCGCTAAATAAGTTTTCAAAATACCACCTTTAAAAGTTGTGATGAGCAAAGCAAGAGCAAGACCAAGACTGGGACAGTTTTGGTCTTGGTTCTGTGTGACACTGGGAAACTCAATATAAAAAGTATCGCGAATTATGTTTTTTCAAAAATTATTTATTTATTCATGAATATCAATTTTGTCCTCTTCACAGTAACCCGTAAGAAAAATTTCCATTCAATTTCCATTAAAAAAATGCCATTTAATTACCACTGATAATAATTAATGGTAATAAATGGAGAATTGCTAATGGGATTCCCATTCCTGAACTCAATGGGATTTCCATTGCTGAACGCAATGGCATCACCATTGCTGAACGCAATTGAAATTCCATTGCTGAACTTGGGTTTATGGCTTGGAAATAGTGGATGGATGTATTCTTGAGACCATTTAATAATATTCAATTTAAATGTGTACGCATACAAATATCTCATTCAGAATTAAATAACATACAAATATTAATCACACCTATTGTTAATCGTTTCGAACGAGACTAAATAATTCATAATTCATAATTTCATTTCTTTGTTACTCGGGGCTTTNCTACTGCCGTGGTGGTCCCTCACGTACCCCCAACATGCACGCATAGGTAAAACTAGATTATTGATTTTCCACCACCTAATTGGCAATATCACTACTCTTGCACCTGGGCAAGCAAAAACTGTATCGAAAAAGGCTAATAGTATATGTGGCCAGGAATTATATTGTAAATGGAAACAATTATTTTTCCATTTATGTCAAATGGTTTTGAATGGAATTTACAAATTTTTCATTGATTCCCATTGAAGTTCAATGGTAATATTTCCTACCGGAATGCCTACCAGATATTATTATACACTTGTGTCAACGTTTTTTCTAATCCTCGAAGCAATTTTTTGTGATCTTGTTCAGCTCCAGCGTCGATGCCGTCTTTATTTCCTCAATCCTAGCGTTCATGGGCCTCTTCAGTTTCAGGGACAAGAAAAAGTCACAAAGGGTCAGATCTGGGAAATAGTGTTGCTGCGGCATTATTAGTGTGTAGTTTTTGGCCAAAAATTCACGTACAAGCAACGATGTACGAGCAGGGGCGTTATCGTGGTCCAAAAGCCAATTTTTGTTCTTCCACAAATCCGGGCGTTTCTGACGGATTGTTTCGCGCAAATTGCGCATAACTTGCAGGTAATATTCCTTATTGACCGTTCTACCATGTGGCAAGAATTCATGATGCACGACGCCCCTGTAATCGAAGGAAACTCTAAGCAAAACCTTCACATTCGACCTAACTTTTCGGTCTTACCTCGTGCGGGAGCTTCCATTGGGACGATTGAGCTTTGGTTTTCATGTCATAACCATAAATTCATGATTGGTCACCAGTTTTGACCATTTGGGTCGTCGCGAACAGAGTCCAACAGCTCCTTAATGCTATGTTGTTTTTAGTCGAAATTGAGCAATGCTGATACGAATTTCGCGGCGATCCGTCACATGCCCAAATCTTTGGTAAAAATCGAATGGCAGGAGCCAGTCAATATGTTTAGGTCCTCAGCAACTTCTTTAAGTTTCTTTTAAATAAATCGAAAATCGAATATACGTAACATGTGGAAATTCTAAATTCGCGATACTTCTTGAACAGATCTCGTACAAACCATTATACTTCCTATCATTAATATTTTATTCATTAAAAACATTCTAAAGTAGTGGGTCTGGATTCGTTTTTATTAACCCTAGACAAACTAAAGAAAAAATCTGTACAAATGTACAAGAAAGTATGCGGCACCTAATAATCTATGAATGTCATCACGACTCCTACTTTTGTATCCATCCTGTCTCTAGTTTCTTTTTCAACGGGAGCAAAAGTTATCCGATCATTTTATGTGTGTCACACCTATAAAACTCGCTTGCTTATTTTCAACATTGATTTGCATCTGGTGATACTCTAATTTGTTGTTTTACGTTAACCAATATGCTAATTATTGCTGTGACCAAAAATCGTTGTGGTGATTTTAGGGGAACAACGAACGTCGCCTGATACTACGCCAAAGCAAATACTTCGATTGTCTTTGCAACAGATGCCTAGACCCGTCCGAACTAAAAACCGAAATTAGTTCTTTGAGATGTCCACGATGTAAACATGGCTTTGTTCGACCCGTTAATGTTGATGGATCGTATAATATGTGGTCGTGTAACACTTGTCAGAGAGATTTCAGTCATTCCTTGGTACAGAGCACTATAATTGAAGCAAGAGCCTTGTTAAATTCACTTAGTAGGTAGTACTTATACATACAGAGTGGTCTAAAGATATGTTAATGTTCGACTAATGTATTTGTAACAGCTCAGAGCCATGAGCAGTGGCAAAGTAATTAGAACTCATATTTCTCAACGTTTTTGAGTAGTAATCATCGTGTACAGTCTGCGTAGAATCGGTTTAATATGGAATGGATAATGACACAGGCGGCATCGAAATCAGGTTTATTTGTTTATCTGACTGTACATAACCTGAGAAGGTACCGAAAAGGATTATAACAGTCAATCTACTCGCTTTCAGCCTCCTTATCACTTGTGCGCATCTCGCGGCGTCGCGGTTACAGATTCGATGGTCCAATGCATAAAATTGAGTGCATTTATGTATCTTTAATAGCCACTCTATTTGAAATGCATAAAAATGAGACTAGAATCTCAAGCATGTACAGTCCATTTCAATTTGTTGGAATTGTGACCTTGAAGAAATATGCGCGATAACAGAAAGAATACACACTAGGCGTGAGCAAGACAGAAATAGTTGAAACAAGCTTGAACGAGCAGAGCTCTCGATGGGTGGTCTTAGGAGATCGGCTAGAACTGTACAGTACTAGAAGAAAATGTTTAGCAATTTCTTAAAACAAAAATGTATATAAATTGACAATAGAAAACAAAGCAAAAGTTTTATAGGTGTACAGAGCGTTAAGTTAATTCACTTGTTATTATTTTTGGCTAAAAATGCTTTTAAATAAAGCATATTTTTAAATTTTAACGAGCCAGTTTAAATAATTTTGCAAATGGTACTATACATTTTTGTCTAGTTCTCGCTCGATGTTCGGTGGAGAAATGAGCTCCGCAGACAAATATGATTGAATTTGAAATTATGCTACGGCGCATCCTAATAAAGGGAAGGGGCATATCAGTATATTCAGTAATAACTTGAGATTTTTGTTGTTATCTGAAGAATGCTTGAAATTCAAGCGTCATGACCATGCCCCAGGATTCTTCGCCAAGTAGTCTTTCTTTCTATCTTTTGGGTGTTTCATTCCGGACTATGCCGGAAGGTAGGGCGGAAGGCCCTCTTCAGTTTGCTTTGAGGAATCGTAGGAATGGCTGGGGGGTGGTTCGGATGAGAAAGATGAGTCGGACGAAATGAAGACAGAAGAGAGTGAAAGATTATCTGTGGAATATTACTGCCTCAGCATTTGCCTAAGTGATCCAAGAAAACCACAGAAAAACTTGGACCAAGGCAGGCGGACCCGGAATCGAACCGGCATCCTCCCGAATGCTAAGCAATGGTCTAGACCTCTAGGCCATGCCGCTCGGTATTCGCCAAGTACTGTAGTTGACATCCTTAGGGAACATAGCAAAGGCGTAACGTCCTTTGCTGTGGTGGTACGGAGACTGGAGTCGAAGTTGTTCCGCAAAAAGAAGATAAGATAATATGAAGCGGAATTGGTTGGTCATTTACAGAAATTGACCATAACGTGCTGATGAGGACTAATAAATTGCGATTCACTGCGGGTAGTTTCGTTATATTACTGATCAAACAATCCGGTAACTTTCTTTGGAAAGTTCAGTGGCATTTTTATGCATCATTTTGAAAGTGTGCACCACTCTCCTACAAGATTGTCTTATATTTATTTATTTGAAAATATTTTTGACTCATGTTAATATGTTTCTAGATATCTCGGACATAGCTGAGCACGAAGAACTTCTACATAAATTATTAAAAACGTTTAGTCCAAATCATTTTCTACTACTAGAAATAAAACAGAACTTGATAGGTTTGTATACTCAATCTGAGCCGAAAGTAAACAAATTACGACGCAAAATCGAACTTTGTGAAGAACTACTGCCACTATTTAGAGTAGTTGAACCAGGACTATCGCGAATGCAAGGTAAATTTTAATGTATGTAATTACAACAGTATGCAGCTACTAAAAGAAAAAGTTTGCGTGTGATCGAATAAGTCCGTTATATTTTTTTTTTGAGTAGAACATTAAAAATTTCATTAATTAAATTAAACTATTTCGAAATTTCACTTTTAATCAACAATCATTCAAATTTGAAAATCTCTTATCAATATAGGTATTTTGACGTTTTTCTAAAATGTACGTTTCGGTACATTTATGACAGCTAGTTGCCTAATTCGTACCACCTGTAGCCTTAGTCGTACCTACAAAATCGACTTAATGGAACACATAATAAGCTTATAGAAAAATATAGAAAAATACTTAATAATTGGAGAGCATATAAACAACTAAGATATTACAAACAATTCAGTCTGAGATTAACTTGAAATATTTTTCTTCGGTTATCAGTTACTAAACCAAACCTAATTGCTAAGTAAATAACACAGAAGATAAAATTATAATTTCTTAAAAAACAAAGTAACGCTTAGGAAATTATTAAGAATGAACACAGACATCACAAATTATTTTTTTTACTAGCTTTTCCCCGCGGCTTCGCTCGCAGAAATTAATATTGTTTCTCAATAAAACATTTTAACTCCCAATTCACCCTTACAACGTTTTAATATTATGTAATGTTGCCATCTTAGATATCAAATACAAACGTAGCAACAACATTTCATCCTTAAGGGTTGATTTTTAAAAATTGCCAAAACACGTACTTGCTTAATTTCAACAATGAGCAACCTTCGAGTAAATCCGAGTACAAATAAAATATACCCCATGGAAACGTTGCAACCTCTTTTCATTTGATTAATAATATCAGATAGCATACTTATATATCAAGTTTCAAGTAAATTCAACCACAAATAAAGTATGTCCCAAACAAAAATTGCAAAACCTTTTTAACCCGCCTCCCTTTGGAGGTTGAATTTTTTAAAATGTAAGACACCATTAAGGCCAAGTTTCAAGTAAATCTGACGACAAGTAATATAAGTTTCATTTAAACATTGCAACTCTTATTTACCACTCCCCCCCCCACGGCAACGAGATAAAAAGTATCCTATGTCCGTCTCCTTGTTGTAAGCTACCTCCTCATCAATTTTCAGCCAAATCGCTTCAGCCGTTTTTGAGTTATAAATAGTGTAACTAACACGACTTTCTTATATACTAGGGTCAATTGAAAAGTCCCCGGCCCGACACATAGATGGCGGCACCAGAACTAAATCCATATGATTTTCAGTTAGTCCTAACCTTCAAAAGACGCGTCTATAAATTTGACGGCTGTCGGATCATTAGTTTGTGAATTATAGCATTTTTAGTGAAGCAACTTTTGTTATTGTGAAAAAAATGGATAAAAAGGAATTTCGCGTGTTGATAAAATATTGCTTTTTGAAGGGAAAAAATACAGTTGAAGCAAAAACTTGGCTTGATAACGAATTTCCGGACACTGCCCCAGGAAAATCAACCATCAAGGATTGGTATGCTAAGTTTAGACGTGGTGAAATGAGCACCGAAGACGGTGAACGCAGTGGACGCCCAAAAGAGGCTGTTACGGACGAAAACATTAAAAAAATCCACAAAATGATTTTGAATGACCGTAAATTGAAATTGAATGAAATAGCAGACACTCTACAGATATCAACGGAACGTATACATCACATCATTCACGAATATTTGGGTATGAGAAAGCTCTGTGCAAAGTGGGTGCCGCGCGAGCTCACTTTTGACCAAAAACAACGACGAGTTGATGATTCAGAGCAGTGTTTGAAGATGATCACGCGTAATAAACCCGAGTTTTTGCGTCGATATGTGACAATGGATGAAACATGGCTCCATCATTTCACTCCGAAGTCCAATCGACAGTCATCGGAGTGGACTGCACACGATGAACCCGCTCCAAAGCGTGCAAAAACGCAACAGTCGGCTGGCAAGGTTATGGCGTCTGTATTTTGGGATGCGCGTGGAATAATTTTCATTGACTACCTTGAAAAAGGAAGGACCATCAACAGCGACTATTACATAGCGTTATTGGACCGTTTGAAGGACGAAATCGCCGAGAAACGACCGCATTTGCAGAAAAAGAAAGTCCTGCTTCACCAAGACAATGCACCGTCTCACAAGTCAGTGAAAACGATGGCAAAAATTCATGAATTGGGCTTCGAATTGCTTCCGCATCCACCGTATTCTCCAGATCTGGCCCCCAGCGACTACTTCCTGTTCTCAGATCTCAAAAGAATGCTCGTTGTGAAAAAATTTTCGTCGAATGAAGAGGTGATCGCCGAAACTGAGGCCTATTTTGAAGCAAAGGACAAATCGTACTACAAAAATGGTATCGAAAAGTTGGAGGATCGCTATAATCAGTGTATCACCCTTGAAGGGAATTATGTTGAATAAAAAAAACGAATTTTGCAAACAAAATGTGTTTTACTATTTTAGGCCGGGGACTTTTCAATTGACCTGTTATATATATAGATTTTACTGCCTACGCCAGCACTTTGGTTTAGCATCCAACCTTTACATTTCATACACTGGATCATGTTTTCTTCACGATCTTTCTTACATACTTGGCATAACCACGATTCTTTTGCTTTTATTTTTTTTGTTCTTCGTGCATGTATCATTTACATTCTTTCTTTTTTTAATTTTATTGACTCCCTTTTCTGTTTTGATTTTCATATTTATTACTTGATAAGAACTTGAGTAAATTATGAAACAATTCTTTTAATACCTTAGTCTTACCAGTACGAGTAAGGAATTTTGCGCAGGTACCACTTAAGCAGAGGGGCCTTCTAAGTTGAAAACTAAAACCACTTACACAATCTAAAAAAAATTCTACCGTTTGAGCATGCCTAAGCTATTACCAGATGAGTATTAAAAAGAGATATTAACAAAGAAGAAAGCCAACGATCACATTTTTGCTGTACAAAGCTTACAAATGAGTCCAAATTCTAACTGAATGCCGTGTATTTAACTTACTTTTTAATTATTTTTGATTCACGAAGCCGGCCCTGGACATCCACTTCTTAACGTTTGCTCGCTCGACTAAATAGCTCAGGTTGACGATATCTACTGAATTGCGTAATTTACGAATATCATACAAGATATTGATGGGGTACGACATAGGCCGTGGTATGACTTCAGCAACCTTACCCTACATAGAAAATACTACAAATGGCGCAGTAAACGCCATCTGTAGCACGATGCTACATTTTAGGATTACATATGCATCGTGCTACAGATGGCGTTTACTGCGCCATTTGCGGTATTTTCTAAAACGCGTTGTTAAGACAGCAGGTAAAAGTTGGTCTGTGTTCTGTCGGAGCTGCCTGTGACGCGTTGATGAGATCCAAAAAGATCGAAATCGCGATCCGCATCTGGCAGTTTCGACAAAATACAGACCACTTTGAATTATTTTACTTACATATTTTAGATATTTGTGTCATTCGTTTATATTAATGTTGAGAACAACGGGTCTATTTACCATTATTTAGGTATCTACCGACTAGAATATAGGTAGCTGTTATATAACAGATTGAAAGGTTTAACTTGCTTTTAGGAATCACTCTTTACGAATTACAAAGTGCTCGAGTATTGTTAGCTGAAAAGCGAGTTAAAAACAAGGAAATTGACGAAAAAGCTTTTATCGAGGTTCTTAAAGATGCGGACTCGTTGCTGAAGCAGTCAATTAAACACTTATTGTACGAACCAAAATGCAGTCCCGAAGGCAGGCTTTGTTTGGAGTGTCTTGGAGAACTTAAACGAATTAGAAGCTTAATGACCGAATTAGAACTGTCACCGTGTTGTAATGAAGTGAAAAGTCATCGGAAAAAGGGTAAAAATAAATAAATGATGTATATTAAAGTGTTGTATTATTTTTAAATATGCAGAATTACCTTTTGCACATTTAGTCCGTAAGTGGGTGCCATTCTATTATCAGTCAGAGCGGCAAATTCGAGTTTCGGTGACAGAAGAAGAACTTTTTAATATTTTAACTTCTTGGTCAGAAATTTATCGAGACTATGGTAGTACTTTCATGAAACAACAGACAATAATAAATAAATAGTATCAGACCTTTATCAGTACGAAACGTCTAAGTTATACTACACGTATTTGTTACAGTTAAAACCCGTTTTCCTTAGTCAGAACTAATTTTTACTGAATCCCTTTGTGAAACTAGAGATTCCTAGTCAAAACTAGAATACCACTTATACATTTGATTTTCAGATAAAACTAGTTGTCTCTCCGAGCTTTAGTTGAAACTAACACTAGAGAAAGTAATTTGGGATTGAAAATAAGATATGGTTTATGCCCCTTTATACTAATAGCAGTTTGTAGTAAATACAGGGTTATAACGTTGTCAGATGCAAGATTGGTTTGATGTTTCTGAGGTAATATTATTTGGAAATGACCATGAAACGACAATACAAACGAAACTATTCGGATAAATCTCCGTTAAAAGTTGAAAGACAACAGAGCCTGCTTTATGATTCCTTACTTTCGAAGCAGGGACCATTGGAACGTTGAAAGGTTGAGAATAAAACAATAAAAGATTATGTAGTTTACAAAAAGACGTTTGGTAAATGCAGGTGAAGTGTTTTATTAAAATTATCAAGGTAATTAACACAAGCAATATGATTAGTAAATACATGCTACAAATGTGATATACCTAATGATATAAATATTGTAAATTGTTCTTATTAACATTCTTGAAGTGAAACTTCTTTGTCGACGTAAGAAGGAAATTTAATAGAATATAAAACCGAAAAGTGTAACGTCACGCGTAACGCGTTACGTGTGACCCTTGGTGGATATGTCCAAAAGGAGTCATTTTAACAGGCTTCAGATGTCAACCTGTTAGTAGCAATGGATAATCCGAAAATTTCGAAATCATTTCGATAAATTGTCAGCAGATCGCGCTTGCGCTGTACTGCATACATACATCTATATTGCATATGCGTTTGTATTTGTTTGTTCTGATTTGCAGTTTCTCATTGCAGTTTCCTATGGTACAAGAGTAAATGTTTTTAATAAAACTAAACCAGTAAAAAATTAAATTGATTTTTTTAGGTATTTAGTAATTAGTTGACGCAATAGTTTAATTAAAAAATACTAAGTACTATAATATGCAGTCTAATGAAGTTTCACTTTTTACGCGTGTATACTAATACACGCTCGCCCCATTTTTTTACTTTCCAGTTGTGGTCCTCATAACAGCAACAAACGAATATGCTGTTTTAACAATCTAAAAAGATAAAAGAAGGAGAAGACGTAAATATTTGTTTTATAAATAGCTATTTTATTAACAAAATAGCAAAGTTATTAAAAGGCAATTAACAAGGTTTTTAATCTTTTCAGTGAGTTTTTAACAGAAGGTGGAAAAAATTTCAACAATATCGTCACTATCTTAGATCTACTATTGATGAACTAAGCAAAACGTTTGTATTGTCACATGCGTATACGCCACCCAACATACATGGTAACCAGGTTTCTAGACGGCATATATCGGATCTTTTTAGAACTTGTCCAGCTCCTATAAATAGCGGTCGCGAGATTGAGTATAGTTAGTACGAGAACGAGTTCGAGGTGATACAAGGCGAAGAAGTGACAAAGTGTTCATATAGTGGTGAATCAATAACTAATTAATTAGACAGAAATAGTTAAAAAATTTAATAATAGAGCGAGAAGGTGTTTAAATATGTGACACTATTATTTTATTTCCATTAAAAGTATTCGACTTCTATTTTATTGAAGTAATATAAAGTAATGTATTCAGCGAATTTATTAAATAATAAATACTTGCTATAGTTATAGAAGATTGCTAATTTAACGAAATCAAACAACAAAAATAGAATAAGAATTAATTGGAATTTGTTTATGATTGTTAAAGCATACCTCTAAAAAAGTTGTCAAAGAAATTGGTGATATTTTTCCTATTGTTACGTGAACGGGTTTCATCATTCTGATGGTTACAATGATAACAGATCTTTTAAATGATTTTGGCATAAATATCCAGATTCCATGGTACAAAGAGAATGGAAGCTTTTCTGCCTGAAAATATGTAATATGTAATAATTTGTAAACGAAAAATGAAAAATTGGGTAGCGTGTCAGACGTAGGGCAGAAATGGAACGTCTATTATTTACTTATTCATCCCATACGCATTGAAATGAAAAGAAATGCAAGGCTTCTCATCTTTATCTTCAATGCTGACAAAACGTCATTTGATTTTTCTTCCTTTCCTTCTATATCTTGTTGGTCTTCTTTTGCGTTTCATCTTATTTATAAAGTGCTTTATCACCATAATATTCTAAAAGACTAGAAATCTTTGGAATTCTCATTGTTAGACGAAGTTGCAAGCAATCGTGATTTAGATATCTTATATCGATTCCTTCATTGAAAATTATAACCCCTAAGACCGCATTTTGTACTTTCTCTAGTACAAACGGCTTCTACCTGGGTTCCCCCAAGAAGTGCTTCATATAAAAATTGCTCGTAAATTATTAAATTGTTTGTGGTAAATAGTAACGGACTACACTTGCTTATCACACAGTAAACGATGCGATCGAGAAGTTTAGGTACAGAAGTCAAAACTGATTATCATCATAAAGTCTTCAGTCGTAAGACCGACTGGACACGCACCTCCACTCATTCCTATTCTAAGCTAATCTTCGCATTTCCCTAAAACTAGAACAACCCACATCCTTAACTATGAAGCACTTCACTTGATTTTTAAATCTTTGCCTAACAATTACGTAATCTAACTGATATCTCCTTAAATCACCTGGCATCTTCCATATATAACGCCTCCTAATGTGATGGTTGAATAAAGTATTCGCGACGGTTAAGTTATATTTATCGCAAAATTCTATCAGTCTATCTCCCCTATCGTTTCTATTGCCTAATCCATAAGAACCACCTGCTATTGCGTTGTACTCTCCTACAACTATTAGGTTTTCCTGCCCTTTCACCAAACTTAACACGTCTTCTATATCTGCATAAACCACTTCTACATCTTCATCATTGATGATGATTCAAGCTGAATATCCTGCTTTCCTACGCATTGCAATTCCTTCCCTCGAATTACTTTCCACTGATCCTGTATGTAGTATTCTACACTCGAGGAGTTTCCAGCTTCTGGGCAACGGCTTTCACTAATGCCTACTATATCTGATTCTGGTCTATTCATTTCAACTTTCAAATTTTCTGACTTCTCTGCTTGCCTTATTGTTCTAACATTCCACGCTCGTGAAATATTGCGCCTTCCCCTACTGCATTTATTGATCCGAATGGGGGACTAATTTACGTTCGGAGAGCTTTACCCCAGAGGATATTATTGTTTAATTTGTGGTAAGTTGTAGGTTGTACTCGGGATCATAATATGGTGGTTTACCGTTGCCTTCCGCATCGCACCGATCCTCGTGATCTCTGCCACCCTGAGTATTGAAAGAGTTGTTGCCCTCTTTCAGTTACTTGTCTTAGTCTGGGTTTTCTTTAAGAAATCCCCCATTATGGTTGAACCTATGATCCGGTTACATAAATCATCGAAACTTGTAAGCCAATTCAGGCATTCTAGTTTGTATAAGAGTTTCGTCAAAGTCCCGTCGGATCGGATCATGACTGATATTGGTCGATAATTTTTGTTTTAATTTAGATGTTACCTGAAGAAGGTGATACTTACTTCTGATGTAAGTTTTGTCCCAAACCAGCAAAATAAAAAGATTTGTACTGTTACAGCCATCAAATAGAGTGCGTATGCCCCTGTCAATCCGGCTTTTACCTAAAATTAGTGTTTTCTTATTAGCAGACATGGAAAGTGTCTCCTTTAACAAATATCAATTAAGTACCTTTGTCGTGTGCAGATACAGAATGAAACCAATTGTTGCTGTAGATATACCAGTTTGAATTAGGATGGTTATGCAAAAGAACGATTCCAATATTTTGCATAAACTGGAATCGATTGTAAACCAATTAAAATTTACATTTGTTTATATATAATGTGAGTTAATCAATATGTTTTTAATAGAATTTCGTGTGCTGTAAAAGTTAACTCTACTATTTTCGTTTACCACTGTATAAAAATGGTTCAAACGATATTTGTGCACTATATAAAGGGTACGATCCATAGTCCTAGTGCCCTATCCCACATACCCCGAAGGATCATATATAAACCAAAAAACAAAATTCCCTTCCCCTCTGCCAAATTATTGGCAACTACTCCCGACCTCCCTGACGAATACCTCAATTATCTGGATAATCTACCCAACAACAGGGAGCATACCTCGGCATTCCCCCTTTGGTTAGGGGTCTGTACAGGCCGAAAGAACAGCTGTATCCCCTAATTAGATGCTTTAATAGTCAAGAGCCAGTCGCACAAATTATGATTAAAAACCGAAACTTACGCAAAACCGTATATACGAGGGACATTATTATAAAGTAATTTTCGTTTAATTTACTACATATTACGTATTTTATTTACTCACTTCAATATTTCATCCAAATAAGCAGCACATGCGTTAAATTTCTTTTGCAGTATGCATTGATCTATTTTCATTTTTCCCATTCTTTGAAAATTAGAATTCAGACATTTAATATGGTTAACTATGAAATTTATTAAAATAAAAAATACTGAATCAGTTGCTGAAAATAAAAAACAAATAAAATCAGTTGTTTTAAATATTACAGCTTTAGGCTCAGGGAATTACCTACCTGCAATACAAGGAAAATAACTGAAGTGATATGTTTCGAAAAACATAGACACCAGAATAAAACTGGTTTTTGACGTCCTTAGACTAGAAGGTATCGGACTAAAAGACGATGTTTTCTGGTTGTAAATGGTCATAGAAACGTTTCCAGAAGTAGTGATGGCTTCATAGTGTTCTTCATAGTCAAAGAAAAATATCTTCCATATGCTAGAAACTCCTCCAAGTCCAGTGAAAAAGAAGACGGCATAAAGAAATTTCGTAACTACTTCCACGTATTTTGCTTCTTTCAGAAAGATGTTGTTTATTTCATTTTCCGGTAACATTTTCAAAGAAAGAAGATGACTTTGTAAATGCCTCATTCTTTCATAAATGATTTTTTTTGCCTTCACGTGTTTATACACTTTTATTTCGGTTAAAACCTCGATGCAAATTGTACTTGTTACCGCAATACGTTCACCGATTTGTATGGTCGATAAACCTCTTAAAAAATTTATCGTTACGATTATTAGAACGATTCTTCTGTAAATGTACAGAAATCTGAATTTATGTGTGACATCCGGATAAGGAGCCCACACCATTAGTTTTTCGGTATATTTGAAGTATTCGGAAACTATGTCAAGTTTTTTCTTACTCATAGTGAAGGTATCTTTATTGGATAGAAACTCATTTGTTTGTGATTTAAATCGGGGATGTCTCTGATAATAATGTGTTATAGGCGCACATTTGTACATATCTATTTCAAAAAAGTTTCTTGGGTGACAATTGTATGGGATTACCATTGGCGTAGCGAAAATAAGAAAGGCATATACTGTTCGTTTTAAGAAGTTTGAGATATGCCCCTTCCCTTTATTAGGATGCGCCGTAGCATAATTCCAAATTCAATCATATTTGTCTGCGGAGCTCATTTCTCCACCGATCATCGATCGAGAACTAGACAAAAGTGTACAGTATCATATGCAAAATTATTTAAACTGCCTCGTTAAAATTAAGAATATGCTTTATTTAAAAGCATATTTAGCCAAAAATAATAACAAGTAAATTAACTTAACGTTCTACACACCTATAAAACTTTTACATTTGTTTTCTATTGTTAATTTATATACATTTTTGTTTTAAGAAATTGCTAAACATTTTCGTCTAGTACTGTACAGTTCTAGCCGATCTCCTAAGACCGCCCATCGAGAGCTCTGCTCGTTCAAGCTTGTTCCAACTATTTCTGTCTTGCTCACGCCTAGTGTGTATTCTTTCTATCTTCGCGCAGATTTCTTCAAGGTCACAATTCTAACAAATTGAAATAGACTGTAGGTAGGTTACTATAATAAAATACATGTAGGAATGGTGTAGAGCCTTTCTTAAATTTCGTTATCCTTTAGAATACTCGAAGAATCGAAGTATTAAAAATATAAAGTGTATGCTCTGTGTTTAAAAGCGAATGTGAAGACTAATGAACTATAAAAGACAATTTCAGTTATTATTTATTGTAAATTCTATATATATTTTTTAAATCTACTTTACTTTTAAAGTTTCGTAGTAGATATAGGTTCTATACAAAAAAAATCGAATAAATTTCCTTATAATTAAACAAAACACAAGAAAACAAAATTCCACAATATTTGGAATTTTGGGTTGCGTTACGGAATGTTTGAAGATTCAATTTGTGTTTGTTTTTTTTTTGAATATGTTTCAAATATTTCATAAGACCATGTTAAAATTCTGCCTACGCTCATGCCTGACATATCACTGGTATCGGCGTATATAGTTTGCTACCACTCTTCAGTGTGTCTAACTATCCAATTATATGGGTGCGGTTATCCTGTAATTTAAAGGATTCCATTTTACTGGAGGGTTTTTCTAAGCGGGATTTAAAAGAAAATAATAGGTGGTATAATTTTTGTAACGCCCATTAATTTGTAACGACTTATTAGCTAATAT